GGGGAGGGTCTGACTTCAAGAAACTGTTATGTTTGTGGATCACGGTGGTGGTTTATGAATCTATTCACATGTTAAAATTCATAAAGCTCTATACTAAATCAAGGTCAATGTTACTATATTTTAAGAAGCAACGTGTGTAGGAATGTATACTAACAAACCGAGTAAATAACTACTTGGAAGGAATTAAACATTCCATGTAGAACTAAGAGAGAAGGCTGATAACCTTGCCTGGATAGGGGAAGAGGAACAGCAAGAATGGCTCCAAAAATGGTTGAGGAAGTGATGCTTGAACTGGGTTCTAAAGGGTAATTTAAAATTTATCTGGGCCAAAGGAAGCTCCATTCAGTAGAAGAAATAGCAAGTGTCAAGGCCCTGGGGCAGGAGGAAGGACTATTCATTTTCCTCTGAAACTGAGAGCACAGGAGTACCCTGCACCCGTGGGAGAGGCTGTAGTGGGAAGGGGAGGAGGCTGGAGCAGTAAAAGTATTAGATTTTGCAGGGCTAAGAGTTTTGTTTTTATTCTAAGAGGGATGAGGAGCCACAGGTTTTAGGCAATTGAAACACAACATCAGATATAGGTTTTGAAAAAGACGGCTTGCACTGCCATGTGGAGAAAGGTTTGAGGGCGGGGATGAAGCCTAACTAAGTATGCAGGAAACTTGGAGTTGGAAAGAACCCCTAACACAGTTTCTCAATCTTGGTACTACTGACATTTCGAACCAGAAAAACCTTTTTGTCTGGGGGGCTGCCTCAGGGCCTACCTTATCCAGGGCTGGGGGTGGGGCCAGAAAGTGATACAGATCGAAGCTGTCAGTTGACCATTTGATGACATCTATGCGAAAGAATCCTTTTGCAACAGGCATATACCCCAGCCCGGGTTTTTGTGATGTAATGAGGCCCGAAGAATGGTTTAGTTACACACAGCGGGGAGGCATATTAATGACTTCAGCCAGGCATGGAACTAGGCACTTCACTGGCCAATCTCAGGCCTATTTATTATCCCTTCTTTAGAGGCGAGGACACTGAGGCTTTGGCCAATGTCTTGAAAAGTCACAAAGACTTTATCTGGCTGCAGAGTGGCCCAACTTTAAAATCCCGGACCACAGATTCTCAAACCTTAGTGTGTGAGTCACTAGCCTAAAGTTTACCAAAATGCCGATTCCTGGCCCCACCCCAACGGGCCTGATTCACTGGGCCTGGGCCCAAGCTGAGGAATCTGCATTCCCCAGGCACTAGTTCCATCTAAACCAGGCAGCTCTTTGACAGCACTTGGCCCTCCCTCTCCTCTAATCCAGGGATTCTGGGGCTGTCCCAGGATCTCCAAACTGGAAATTATCCAATCCTCCAACAGGTGAATGGCAGCAGAGGTTGGGGGGAAAGGAAGAGGGACCAAATCCCAAGAATTTGGGGGATTTTGCCAATGACCTGGAGCCCGGGGAAGAACTGTAACATCGCAGCGAGGCTCCAGGAAGACAGGTCCTGCGCTGCCTGCCACGAGGGCGGGCCAGGAGGGGGCTCTGAGGAGGGAGTGGCCATGAGGGGCGCTTGGTGAAAAGACCTAGGGGTTCAGCGGTCCAGGGGGTCAGCGGCCCAGGGCCCCCCACTCTCACCTGCCTCGAGGTGCACCCAGCGTCCAGATTGGTCACTGCATAGATCCGTCGGGTTTCCCCAATTCCGAAGACTCACTTTCCCCACTTTGACAGAACCTAGTATCCCCAAGCCAAAACTACCTGGCCAGACCCTCCCCTCACGGAGACCGGCTTCCCGCGAGCAGGGAGGACCCGGAAGCAGGGCCGGAGGGCCAGGCGGGCGCCTCCCAGTCGGAAGCGGCGGGGCAGGTGAAGGGGCGGCCTCTGCGCACCGCGCGGGGCAGGAACCGGGGCGCCCCGCCGGGCCGGAGCGGGGAGGGCCGCGCACGCCTCCCGCCGCGCTTCCTGCCGGGTGGGGGCTCACTGCCGGTCCCCGCACCCTGGGGCACCTGCGGAGCACCTCTCCGCGGGGACTGGCCGGCCCAGGTCCCCAGATCCCCCCCCCCCCTTCCCCGCCGTGCCAGACGCTGCACCCCGGCCCGCCGCGGCGTGGACGGCCGGGTCAGCGAAGGGTTAAGGAGGCTCGCTCCCTCCCCTCGGCTCCCTCACCCTTGGAAAGTCCCCGAAATGACGTTTCAACCCGACAATTAAAAAAAAAAAAAAAAGGGTTTAATTATAGAGGCAGGCTCTGGGAGCTGGAACCAACCCGGTCGGTCGGCCGGGCCGGTAAACAACTCCGGGGCAAGCGGGCCAGGCCGGCCGCCGCCCCGCGGAGCCCGCGCCCCCTCCGGGAGCGGGGGAGGGAGGGGCGCGCCCGCCCTCCGGGAGCTGGAGAAGCGGAGGAAATTCGAGGAATCGCGTTCTCTTTGGGGGAGAAAAACGTTTTCACTGGCCGGGGGGCGCCGAGGCCCGTCCCGCGGCCGCGAGGGAAGAGCGCCCCCCGGAGAGGGAGCAGCGGGGCGGCCTGGCCCTGGGCGAGGACATCCGCCCCGCGCGTCCCCCTCACCCCTCGGTTCTCCAGCTCATCCTGTACCCCCAGCACTGCTTCCAGAACCCCCCAGATCTAGACCCATGGGCTCCCTTTAGGGGGAGGGGCTGGGGGGATAAAAAAAAAAAAACCGAAATAGCTTCACATCGGGACGCAGACTAACCTTGTGGTTTGTAACGCGCATCCTACTCTGTCCTGCAATCTGGAACTCATTACCTCATCTCCAAGAAACTGCACGAACCCGCCCCCCGCCCCCTTCGAGGAGCCGGGGAAGGAGGGAGCGAGTCAATATCCCTCCCTTGAAGAAAGAAACTTACACTTGATTGATTTCAATGAAGGTGCATGCAAGTTATTTCCCTTCCTGGCGTTTGCCAGATTTCAAGAAAAGCTGCCAACGGGAGAGCAGAGGGAGGGAAGCAACAGGCGGCTGGAGAAGGAGAGGGAAAAGCAAAGGGCGCTCAGCAGCCGGGTTAGAAACGGGGGCCATCCATTTAAGATCAAGAAGACAAATACAAACAGACTGGGTTGTGCGGCGGGGGAGACGGAGATCACACAGGTTCACGGTTGCAGCAAAAGTTGTGTGTTTCGCAAAGACGGAAAAACAACCGATTCCTAAAAACAGTGGTGATTGGGAAGGTTTCCCGGGTTTGCCAAAGGTTGACGAATAAATAAGAAATGCGGTAAAACGTGTGTGTGTGTGTGAGAGTGTGTGTGTGTGTGTGTGTGTGAGTGTGTGTGTGTGTGTGGGTGGTGGTGGTGGTGAGAGTGCGACTCCAGCGCGCCGCTCCGCCCGCCCGGTCCTTTCCAAAGAAACGTGCTCCTAATGGGGTGACCTAATTACATCGCAATGGAACCCGCTCTCAGCCACTCAGCACGCGGGGTTTCGTAACAGACCCGGCGGCCTCGGTGCTGGGAAGAACGTGCGCGGGCCGAGGGCGGCCGGCACGCGGGGAGAGGAAAACGCGGCCCCGCGGTTTCCGCCGCTCCTCGCTGCACACGCGCGCGGGGGCGCGGGGGGGGGGCGGGGGACACGCCAACAGCTCTGTATCTGGGTGAGTGGAGGGGCATCCGAACCGGACAGTAAATGAATACAATCTTACCGTTTTTAAAGGAGTAACAATCTATCGGGTGGGAGGGGGGCTTTTAGCCCATGCCCTCCTCCCCCCATCCCGCCCAAACTGCGCGGCCTGACAAGCCATATGTTCCGTTCCCGAGGGGGCGGGCGGGGAACAACAATAGGTGAAGTGTCGCCGCCCCCATCTCTTTACTTTCATTCTTGCCAAAGTAACTCCCCCCCCCCCTTCTCATTGTTCAAGCGTCTAGGCGAGAGAGAGTGTGTGTGTGTGTGTGTGTGTGTGTGTGTGTGTGTGTGCGCGCGCGCGCGCGCGGCTCACAGGTCAGAGCGCGCCTGGAAAGTTGTATGTTGCTGGGTGTTTTTTTTTTTTTTTTTTTATAAAAAAGTTTAAAGAACGGATACGTGGAGTAAATACAACTCCCAGTCCTCCTAAAACAAACAGCCCCCTGCCCGACCCCCTAGGCCCACAATCAGAGGGTGCTGCTGGCTGCAAAGTGAGCGCGGGTGTAGGCGGGTGCGGTGCGCCAAACCCTGCTGCGCTCACCCCCCGCCGGGCCGGGTCCTCCTCGGGGGAGAAAGTCTCCCACCACCACCCCCTCGGGGAAAAAAAAAAAAAAAAACCCGGAGTGGAGGGCTGTGTGCGGTCCCCAATGTTCAGTCTCCTCCCCGGCCAGGTTTGCGGAGGGGAGCCGGGTGCGGAAGACCATCCGGCAGGAGCGGGAGCAGCGCGGGGCCCCGGAGAAGTTTGGAGAAAGATCAGCTCAAGATGGAAACCGCAGCGGCGCTCGCTCCGGACGGGCTCCAGCTCCCGCTTGCAAAAAAAAAAAAAAAAAAAAAAAGAGAAAGTCGAGCCCGCCTTCCTGCCCGACACAACACAACAGCACAACAAGAACCCCGAAGAGGGTGGAATGGGTGATGTCACAGAACCCAGCTCCCCGGCTGACAAAGGAGGGGCGCGCGGCTGGGGAGCGGGGCGCGGGGGAGCGAGGCTAGGCGGGCGGACTCCACAAACTTTTCCTCTTTAAGAGAAAAAAAGTTGTGCGCCGCTCTGAGTGGTTTTCCCTCCCCTCCCCTCGCCTTCTTTCCTCGTCTCCCTTCCCCCCCTCCTTCCTTTTGAAAGTTTTTTTTTTCCTCCCGGAGTTTGACCGCATGGCTGATTCAACTTAAGTGTCAATCAACTTTTTTTCCTCCCTCCTCTTCCTCATTTAAATACGCTCAAACTCCTCCTCCTCCGGGGCTACTATAAACCGGGCTTCGCGCGCCCGCAGCCGGAGAGTCAGAAAGGCGAGGGGCCCCGGGAGCAGGCGTGTGGGACTCCTGACCGGAGAGCCGGAGGCTGCGCCTTCCCCGCACCGGGACCGTCACCGCCACCCGCCGATCGCGCCCCTGCCCCGAGCGAGCGCCCACGATGACCACCACCCTCGTGTCCACCACCATCTTCGACCTGAGCGAAGTTTTGTGCAAGGTAAAGTGGGGCGGAGTGCTTGCTTTTTTTTTTTTTTTTTTTTTTTTTTTTTTCAAAAGAGGAGGATCTCTTTTGCCCTGAGAAAGAGAAATCCCCAAAAGTTTGTGTCCGGGAAAGTCAAGGGGTGGGGGGAAAAGTCCAGAAGATAGTTTTTCTTTTCCTTTCCTCGCCCATCCCTCCGCTCCTGCCCAGTTTGAAGGAATTCGGTCCTCTGCTCCCCGCCCTTGAGCTTCAGCAGTGTCTGGCGGGGATTGCATGGGAATGGGATCCAGAGACCAGAGTTTTTTGGGGGGAGAGCTAAGTTGGTGAGGCTGGGATCCCTGGGGAGATTTGGGGGGCCACTTTCCGGCGGTCACGTGCCGCTGGAGCCCAGGTCCACGGCCTGCTCGGTTTCCCGGGGTGCGCTCTGGGTCCTGCCGCCCCCGGAGGGGTTCCAGGCTCCGGAGCCACCTCGCCGGCCGGCCTGCGGGCGGGCGGGTGGGTGGGGAGGGGGCTCGCTCCCACCGGGAGGTGAGTCTCCGGACGTTTGGCCGGGAGATGGTCTCTGGTGGGTTTGGAAGGGGCTGGTGATCTCCGAGGAAAGGGCCAGGAGTTGTCATTCAGAAGAGGTTGCAGAGTTGCTGTGAGGCTTCCGCCGGCCCCAACGCGGCCCGTCTTCCTCTCAGGATAGACAGTCGCGCTGCAAACTTTCGGGTGGAAGGGGAGCTGGGGTAGACTCACTAAATTGTGTTTTTTCCTCCCTGGGGGGCCGCTGGCTCGTGGAAATGGAGGGTGGGGGACACGGTAACAAAAAGGCCGGTCTGAATTCAAGGGTCTTGGGGAGGAAGGATCTAACAGGGGCGCCCTTAAGCCTTGTAGCTTGCCAGCGGTTGTGAGAAAAAGCAAGTTTTAAGCCCAGAGTGCCCCAGGAGGGCGGGCGAAGTGTACCGAGCAGAGAAAGCCCGTGGACTCCCCAGTTTTATCCCTAAGGAAACAGGGAAGCTGCTAGGCTGCTTTTAATTGCTGAAGTGTTTTTGCCTTCTTTTTAAACACGTCGGGTCATGTTGCTCTCTTTTCTCCAGCTCGCCTCTCCAGTCGGCGCAGCTAGCTGCCAGGGCCCCAGGGCTGCAGGGTTGGGGCGCAGGGACGCCGAGGAGCTGAAGAGACACATCAAAAAGTTGGGATTTCAGCTTCCTTCCTTCCCTGCGCTTTCCCAAACCCCGGCCGCCCTGGCTGCCCGCGTCCTCCCGCTCTTCTCCCTTCTCTTCCCAGCTCTCTCTCTCGCTCTTTGATCTGTTTCTCTTTCTCTCCCCCTCTTTCCCCCCCCACAGGACTTTTTAAATGAACCTCATTGTTGGGAACCGGCTCTCAACTTGGTTCCTGTAATCCGCTCTCCATGGGGCGGTTGCTGTTACAGATTCCCGATCCCCAGCAGCCGATCCTAAGGGACCAACTTTAGAATTTGCACAATGACACCCACATGGGCCGGGAGCCAACTCCCAGGTCATTCCCCACCCCCACCCCCAGCACCCTTTCCAAATCTTGGGTACAGTTTGGGCAGGTGAAACCCATTGGAACAGAAACCTGCCTGTGGTGGCTCTGTGTCCCCCTCCCCCCTCCCCAAAGTCCATTATTGACTGGCAGCGTGTGGGGGGATTTGGTGCTTTCTTTTTCCTTCCCACCTGCAGCTTGGCGTTAAAGATTAAACACTGGCGCTCTTATTCCAGCTTGCTCTCGGAGCCAGAAGACTAATTGCAAAGGCACCTTCCCAGGGGAGCGAGGTTGGGTGGGCAGAGATGTTGGCGAGGGCACTGTGGAAGGCACCCTTTTCCCGAGCATGGGGCAATGAGTTTTATTTTCAACAATCACATCTCTCCCCTCCTCCCCCCCAAGCCCGGACAGGGGACAGGGGCTTCCTCCCTCTCCCCCAGCAAGAGAAAAGCAAAGGCAGTCTGGAAACCTGTTGCTAAAGGAAGGGAACACTTCTGAAGGAGGAAGTGAAGAGTCTTAGGCCAAGTTCAGTGGTGGTTGACTAAGCGGGGACTGATTAAAAAGGGGGTGGGGCTCCTAGCCTCTAAGGTTTACCTGTTTTTGTTGGGGGGAGGCAGTCTCCGGGGGGAGGCGATCTAGAGAGGTCCCAGCGATGTGGTGTCTTCGGAACTGAGGAATCTATTTGGGAGGCAAAGAAGTTGAGTTTTATGGATACAAGTGGTAGCTTTGGGATTGGATAATGGGGGTCCATTTCTGGGGTCTGCATGGGATAGGGTGCATGCATAAAACAACTTCTCACGTGGGCCAGGATTTTTTTAAATTTTTAAATTTTTTTTTTTTTACTTTTTTTATGCACGGGGCCAAAGTAAACCCAGGTGGCTGGTCTGTGGGAGAAGGGGGAGGGGCCTGCCAGGGCCCGCTGTGGGGATGGTGTCTGGGAGGTGGGCATTTCTGATCGTGGAGGGGCTGCCATCAGCAGGTCCTCTCTTAGGGCCTGGTGGCTGGCTCTTGTCACTCACCGTCCTCTCTCTCCTCTCTCTCTCCTCCAGAGTAACAAGATGCTCAACTACAGTACCCCCAGTGCAGGGGGCTGCCTGCTGGACAGGAAGGCGGTGGGCACCCCAACCGGTGGGGGCTTCTCCCGGAGGCACTCGGTCACCCTGCCCAGCTCCAAGTTCCACCAGAACCAGCTTCTCAGCAGCCTCAAGGGTGAGCCGGCTCCAGCCCTGAGCTCGCGGGATAGCCGCTTCCGCGACCGCTCTTTCTCGGAAGGGGGCGAGCGGCTGCTGCCCACCCAGAAGCAGCCGGGCGGCGGCCAGGTCAACTCCAGCCGCTACAAGACGGAGCTGTGCCGCCCCTTCGAGGAGAATGGCGCCTGTAAGTACGGGGACAAGTGCCAGTTCGCGCATGGCATCCACGAGCTGCGGAGCCTGACCCGCCACCCCAAGTACAAGACGGAGCTGTGCCGCACCTTCCACACCATCGGCTTCTGCCCCTACGGGCCCCGCTGCCACTTCATCCACAACGCCGAGGAGCGCCGCGCCCTGGCGGGGGCCCGGGACCTCTCCGCCGACCGCCCCCGCCTCCAGCATAGCTTTAGCTTTGCTGGGTTCCCCAGTGCCGCTGCCACCGCCGCTGCCACGGGGCTGCTGGACAGCCCCACGTCCATCACCCCACCCCCCATCCTGAGCGCCGACGACCTCCTGGCCTCACCCACCCTGCCTGACGGCTCCAATAACCCCTTTGCCTTCTCCAGCCAGGAGCTGGCCAGCCTCTTTGCCCCTAGCATGGGGCTGCCCGGGGGTGGCTCCCCGACCACCTTCCTTTTCCGGCCCATGTCCGAGTCCCCCCACATGTTTGACTCTCCCCCCAGCCCTCAGGATTCTCTCTCGGACCAGGAGGGCTACCTGAGCAGCTCCAGCAGCAGCCACAGTGGCTCAGACTCCCCCACTTTGGACAACTCAAGACGCCTGCCCATTTTCAGCAGACTTTCCATCTCAGATGACTAAGCCAGGGTAGGGAGGGTCCCCCTACCCCACTCTACGCCATCCCTGTGTCCCACCTACCCTCCTCTCCCTGTCCTACCCTACAAACCCTTCCATTAACAAGGTTAAGCTCAAACCCTTTCCCCTAGAACCTTGGAATGCTCCCCCCTCTCCGCCCTTTTAACCCTCCCCCCCCCCCCCCATCCCTCTCTAACATAAGGACAAGTCAGTTTGTCAGTAGCTTCCTCTGGCTTGAAACCCCCTTCCCTTGATTTTATAGCCCACTTACCATGCATAACAGACAAGTCCCATATTTGTCAGTAAGATGCCTTTTTTATTTTTGTCCTCCCCGGCTTAAGCCTTAAGTGCCAAATCACAAAAAGAAAAAGCAGTAACAGTTTACAGAAGCAACTTAGTGCCTTGTAATCTAACTTTGTCACTGTGACTACATTACCTCTTCAAGCGCCAGAGGGCACCCGTGGGCCTCCCAGAGCCTCTGCCCATGGGGAGGGGGGGGAGGGAGGGGACCCAGACCAGCAGCTCCCTCCACTGGCGATACAACTGCACCTTCCCTTATTTCAGTCTCCCACACACTTCCTCCTCCCTTCCCCAGCAACCCCCCACCCCCCACCCGCCTTGGGAGAGTTGTTGCCAGACTTGGGTTTTTGGGGAAACCTATCTTGACATTCAAAAACCTTTTTTCTTCCCGACCCGAACCTCTGTTGACTAATCTTGCCCAGGTTCGCATAGGTCTGCAGGAAGGAAGACTGAAAAAGTGGATGAAGATTGTGACATAAGTGGGACTTTGTGATTTAATTTTTTTCTTCTATTTTTTTTTTTTAAAGTGGGGAGGAAGGGGAAGCTAGATGGACTATAAGAGACTTGATTTTGGTGCTAAAGTTCCCCAGTTCATATGTGACATCTTAAAAAAAAAATGACAAAAAAGTGAGAGAAAAGCTAAAAAAACATGTAAGGGGTGAGAGATAATGGTATTCATTCCACGTACAATATCTGTAAAACGATTTCCCGTAGACGTAGCTTTAATGGTTTTTGCTCTAGAATACCTTAGGACTATCCTTAGAGCACTCACGCCATGCTTTTTTCCCTGGGTTTTAAACTTCATATAACTTTCAGAAATTGGAGAGCAAAATTTTTGCTTGTCACTGCACATCAATATAAAAAAGCTTATTTAACTTATCAAAACGTATTTATTGCCAAACTATGCTTTTTTTTGTTAATTTTGTTCATATTTATCGGGATGACAAATCCATAGAATATATTCTTTTATGTTAAATTATGATCTTCATATTAATCTTAAAATTTTGTGACGTGTCTTTTTTTCCCTTTTTTTCCACAGTTTTAATATATTATTCTTCAACGACATTTTTTGTAACTTTACACTTTTTTTTGGTTATTTTATTTTAAAAAAATGAAAAATTAATTTAAAAAAAATGCAAAAAACTGTTGGATTATTTATTTTAGAAATTTCCCCCCTTTGTGTTGGACTGCAAATTGAGTTTCTTTCTCTTTAGGCCTTTCACAACTAGGACTGAGAATGTATGTAGAAGTTCTGTGACAGTACAGAAGGAAAACAACTTTTTTATGTATCTCTTCTAAAAGGGGAAAAAATAAAAAATAGAGAAACCCTTTGACTTCCACGTGCCCATCTCAAGACATTCCGATGACAGATTTGAGGTTCTGGATTCCAGGTTTAGTGTTTTCCAATGTTGATGCAAACAGAACTGGCACACACACACATTAAGATGAATGTAATTATTATTCCTCTTGCTGGTCACTACCGTCGCTTTCTTTTTCTCTTTCTTTGTGTGAATTTATTTAAAAGGAAACTTTTTGTAACGACTATTTGCAGTTTAAAAAATCAATAAACCCCATTTTTTTTTTTTTCAAGAAACGGATGGTAAAGATGGTTTCACTGGGCTTGTGGTTTTCCCCTGTGGGTTTGGCTCCTGTCTGGATGGCAGGTACACCAATGGCCAGCTCTCTTGGTGGGTGCTGGAAGCCTGCTGAGTGCAGAGATGTGGGGGGAGGCTTATTGCAGGGCAGCCTGTACTGCTAAGTGATCTGCCTGGCTGTTAACCAAAGGTCAGCCTTGCCCACCTGTGGACTCGGGCTCTTCAGGGCCACGGAGGCACAGGGGCTCCCCGTCTTCTCTGCCCAGCCTGTGTGTGGTGGTTGCAGTGCCAAGATGGTGCAGGGGGGCTGTAGCACATGGCACGCCAGCAAGCCTGGATTTGAGAGCCATGTGGGTGCTTCCAGGCTCATTCCCCACCCTTGGGGGAAGTGACTAGCTTCAAACTACCTGGAGTGAGGTGAACTCTCACCTCAGCAATGCACCTCAGCAATGCGGGCTTGGAGAGGAGCATCCAGGATGGGGGGGGGGGGGGACTCATACATGGCACTGGGACCATGAGGTTTCACAGGCATCGGACATGCTTGTGTATTGGGAGGGCTGTGCAGGGGAAGTGGATATAAAATGGCCAGCATCACGGGAAGTCGTCCTTAGGTCTTTGTGACACCTCACTACCACGGAGAGCAGGTAAATGGGCATCTTGGGAAGGCGAGGTCTTGGTTAGAAACAACCCAGCCCAGGTCAGATGCCCCTCTGAGGGGATGTTTTGCTTTCCAGAGAGGTTGGATCTTTCTGAACATCCCAAGTCTGGTTCTTAGGAGGATTTCTTTTGGGGGAGGCAGAGACAAATACTGCTAGTTGAGACTCATCTGCCTTTGGTTCTTGGCACTCAGTAAGCTTTGGGGGGCTAAGCTGGATTTCCATCTTGACTCCACCGGGCCAAAGGCAGCTAGATCTGCAGACGACACGGGCTGGCTCAGGGCTGTCCTTGAGGCTGTCCTTATGCACCCTGTCTACTCTTCCTTTCCAGGCCCTTAGGTACCTACCTGCTGTGGGGCAGGGGTAGGAAGTACAATAGGGGCTATTACCTCTTAGAGGGCAAAAGCTGGTGGTGAAGGGAAGGGGAAAAGCAAGCCTTCTGGGACTGGAGTGAACCTAGGCCTCTGTCCCTTGAGGAGGGACTGACTGTGTGTGAGTGTGTGTGTGTGTGTGTGTGTGTGTGTGTGTGTTGTTGTCATGGCATGTGATCTTCCTCTGACTTAAAGCAATCACTCACCTTGAACTCATTCCCTGCAGGCGTAGATGGGCAAGTTGGAGACACATAATTTTCTGGCTCCTGGTTGGGTTCAGAGGGGACTAAGCATACTCACTGCCTGCCCAGAATGTTCTCTCCATCAAATCAGTTCTTGAGTGATACCAAAGGAAGCCCTGGAGCGGGCGGTGGTCTGGGAAGACAAGGGGGTCTCCCTAGGGACCCAGGAAGCTCTCTGTCCCAAGTGAGCCTGGTTACCCGAGAGCCTGATCTGTCTACCAGCTCGTTCTTAAATGTAGAGGAGATAGGTCAAAGCTACTTGGGAAAGGAAACGGCAGAATTCTTTCGGACCCATTCTTTTTCCAGGATTGCAGCAGATGAAAGGACCTCAGCAGCTGGCAGGCTCTGGGCTGGCAGGGAGTCCGGAGGAGGTCTGAGCCCAGCTGGCAGGGGCCTTCTATTGCTGAGATCATCTACAGTCTAGGGGGGCATAGGAGCCATGCAGAGAGAGCTCATGGGGAAGTGGGTAGGAAAGGCCAGGCCAGTCTTTGTCAGCCAACTTCCTGGGCCATGAGGCCTACTTCCCCATCTCCTGCCCTAGACCTTGGGGCATCTCTGGTTTGGGGGCCTGCACCAGGTCTGCCCTGGCTGGGCAGGGCCTCTGTGGCTGTTGGCCCTGCACCCACGGTCCAGCCCTTGGCTAAAAAGGTCTTCTCTTGGAGCAGCTCACAAAAATGAGGTCTGTTTTGGCCACTGAGCCATGACTTAATACCTTTTTAGGCCTGGAAGCCTCATCTTAAAGAGGAAGGCCGGGAACCTGCTGTTCCTCAGTGGCCCTCTGGTGAAAAGAGGGCCTTGGAGCAAACGCGGGGGCAGACACAAGCTGGGTTTTGCAGCCAATTGGACCATGAAGCACTGGTTCCCAAAGGGGCAGACAGGGTCAGGGCAGGAGGAAGTTTCCATGGCACGGAAGAAAGGTGTTGAAATCCTTCAACCTGGGTTCAAATCCAGTCCCCCTTAATCAGTTTGTGCCTTGGGCAAATGGCTCAACCTTGGATTTTCTATCTGATCTCGGCTGTGGGAAGGGGGTTGTGAGGATCCAGTGGACCGTTAGCCATGACCACTCTTTTTCAGTGCCAGGTAGTCTGGAACTGCATGTGTGTTCATTTGTAAAGTGCTCAGTGACCCTCTGGAGGAAGGTCTGTACCATCTCCGTTGTACAGATGGAGAAATTGGGGTGCCCGGTGCACGGATGAGTCGCACCGCTAGAAGTGTCAGGATCTGAACCCAGGCAGCCTCGCTCCAAAGTGGCCTTTTACCGCCATGTCACAGGCCGGCACCCTGCATACATTTGGCACAGTCCCTGGCCCAGAATTACTGCACATCGACCCACGTTAGTTCCTGTCTCCCTTGGCCTTTGAGGAGATTTTGCAGGGGCGTGAGAGCTGCCAGTTGGATTAGATGACTCCGCACACCCTGCTCCACCGAGTGTCATGATCTCATGTCCCGCGAGGCCCCGGATTGGCGAGTTAGGAGGACGGGGCCTGGGAGGAGGGGCAAGCCACCTCCTTGGACTTTCCCCTTCTCCGCCGGTGGCAGGGTGGCTTCTGTTAATGATTGACAGGAAAGGGTGCCCTGGGCGCCTTGGGAGCTGGCTCTGTGCCCTTCTTCCCTCGGGGTCTCCCCTGCCCTGCACGTAGCCAACCGTTTAATCACGTCTGGCCTCACCGACTGGAACTCTATCTGCGTTCCGAGGGGGACGGGGCTGGGGCGACCAGCCAGGATCCTCCCCAGCCGCCCGCTGCCTCCCAGACAGCCCTTCTCAGCCTGGCCTCTGCTCTGCTGGGCAGCGAGTAGAAGTTCAGAGGACTGGGAAGCAGGGCGAAACCTCAGCCTTTTCTT